CCAGAGGAAAATCAACATCTTCGTCGCTGTGATAAAGTCAAGTCTTACAAATTATTAAGCCTCAATTTCTTTCCCATCTTTTAGGTGCCAATATTCTTCTCAATTCTTTATTCTCATCGAAAATTTCTGCCTTACAGGTTGAGACCAAGTTCAACAAACTTACAGTGCAATACGTTAGATAATATGTAGGATTTTAGGTTTTCACGGCGGTGAGTCTGAAGATGGCTGTCTTCTGGGTTGTTGCGCCGTGTAGTCCGATAGAAGTTTACCATCGCCCCGATGATGGAAGCAGCAGGGACCTCTGAAACTTCTGCCAGACTACACGGCGCAAAAACCCAGAAGACAGCCATCTTCAGGTTAGATAGGATATTCAAGTGACGAAGAAACACTCCCTTTACGAGGGAAACATTCGAGCAAGTAGGAATGCCTGAGCCAACCATCTACAGCAAACAGACCGGTATGTTAATTGGGGCAGAGTGTTTGATGAAGAAACGTGCGACTGCTATGCACACAAAACACTCTTCCAGGGCTTCGTAGTTTTTACTGTTGAAAGTTTTTCATCTCCGTTAAGACGCCCAGGGCGAGCAGGTGAAAGTATTTGTGAAAACCTGTTCGTGCCTCAACACGACGTTATAAAGGCCCTGGCGAGAGGTATATCTCCACGCGTTCTAGAAGTCTATATAATCCAAACGCATGCAACTTGGTGGTGACCGGTCATAATCGCCCTGATGATGGAGGCAGTAAGGACCTCCGAAACAGTGGTAAACGTCTACCAGACTACACTCACCCCTGATATTCGCAGAAAGACTCTGAGCATAACCAAGCGTCATTCCACGGATATCACGGATGAAAAGGAAACTTATGTCCGTATTGGGAATCGAAGTTGACCCATTCGAAAAAGTCCATGCAAAATGTGTGCAAATTTTTGGTAGGTGATAATTTGATGTATCCGGGCCTTAATAAGTAACATTTATGACTTCGTGTGTTTAATACCTTAGATTTCCTCGTCATTCTTATGTGCCTTTAACATAATGATCGTGGCATATATTAAACTATAGGCCTAACCTTAGTAATTTACTGAAGGTACTAAGGAAAACCACGAATAAGGACACAAATGTGTCCACTTCCGCCACTGTACGGTTCAGTGATCACGTGATAAGTTTTATGACGTGAAAACACTCGCGGGCAGGTCTACTGGTTCTACTAATTGCCCTCTTAATTACCCGTATGAGCATACTTATTTCAGAGTCTCATCTGTTGCTCTATTTAATAGGTAAAGTTACTAAACAGAGACACAGACATCTGACAGAAATTATTATAAGAAATCGAACACGGAAACTATCAGCACCAAAATATTAAGGCGTATGGAAGAGTGGACGTGAATCTCCACGCATTCTTAAACATAACACTCGGAAGTTGAGTGACCAACTTCATATTTCAGCCTACATTAGCCACCGGACACGAAGCTGGGCGGTCCCCAGGTCAGATGTGTGATCACAAACTTCTGTTAAAATGTCGTCATTTTTGGTAGTGTAGTGAACATTCGAGTTCCTTACAAATCTGGACATCTTTTGGAAATTACTACAAACTTTCTAAAGACAAACTCTCTGTTTACACTCCAAGTCAAAGTTTGAAGTAGCTGAATTATTTCGCGGAACTGTGTTTCTTACACGAAGTTGCGACGGGGAAGTCAGTGGCTTTCCACAACAGAATCAACGAGCATAACGTTGCCAGGTAACCGAAACAAAAGACGGGGGCGTAGCCCTCTCATTGAGGCAAGACAAGACACTTGGAAGCGTCTCCATAATCCGTGAACAAGTTTCTCGGCGTAATGCACCTCCAGTCCCTACTGAATCCTCACATGGACGCATTTTACACATTACACGATGTATTCGTATGGAAATAATGTCAGACTAACTCCTAGGTGGCGGGATTCGAAAACTCTGACACCGCTGGACACGGTCCTGGGCCGGTACCATCCACAAAACGTATTTCTGTATGATATATCTTAATGTTATCCTCCCACAACCATTTAAGCATCCAAATTTAAATAAAAACACGAAGCCCATCAGATTCTAACGGTGTATATTACTCCAGAATTTAAGTGTAAGCTACACGTATCTCCATGTTTTAATTGTACTGAATTTTGTTTCGCCTGACTTACCGATAGGTGTCGTCAGGAACTGAACTCGAAAGACATCTGTGACTAAGTTACTTGACGGGTTATAAGCTCACTAACAGAGACGCAAGGTACAGGATGTGATATTTGCGGAGATGTCAATGTCAGCGTAGAACACGGGCTTATTTTTCGTTCTGTCCACAACAAACTGAGTGAAGACGGACTATTAGAATGAAATGGCGGAAGAAACATAAGCACAGGACAACCGTGAAACGTAAACGTCTTTGCTTTCCGTGTTTTCATATACAGGTTGTCCCAAAAATATATATACACAATGCTGAGGTAGGTAATGTTTGCGTGTATATGTTTTTTTTGAGACACTCTGTATACGCTCTTTTCCTTTTAATATTCTTTCTTTCTATTTTGGTACAAAATTACGTCCCGTTTCTTGAAAACAGGCCCAGAAAAAAAATAAAGCGTAAACTGCTACATTACGAGAACAAATTAAATTACTTCAATTAGAATAAATTTGAATCCGTGAAAAATTTCGTGAAAGATCGGTGGAGTGTGACAATGAGGCATTACAAAGAGGAAATAATTATGCAGATCATTGAACAAAAGTGCCTAAATTACCTCCACACGCAACGCACATGTGCAGGAGAAGTTGCCTTCGAGGACGGCGAATTTCTTGCCGAAAATATAACAGCATTTTGCGTTTGGAAATCACTACCTTGCACTGAAACAACTGACGCAGATTTCTCTGTCTACATATAGGGCAGTGGGTTTATATAACTTCGCAGTACCGAATTAGTACAACACAATACATAAATCTCTGGTCCCGGGATCCAAGGCGTAACTATGCATTAACACGTTGTAGGAGAAAAAAAAATATTAACGTTTCGGTTGAACATATCGCTTCCATCTTCAGGTAAACTTCAAATTCACCACTTACTACGTGACGTTGAGAAAGCGTCATTAAATAAAAATATGAAAGGAGATCATATTCTGTGCACTAAAAAAACTGATAGTTGTTGTTCGGAGTGAGTGGTTATCGGTTATTTTACGATGCTATCTCAGGGGATGAGGTTTTATGGTGTCGAATAAGATATCACAGGTCGGTTGTATATGGTGGTGAATACGAGGAATGTGGAAGGAAGCAACCGTGGCCTATTTTAAAGTACTAGATGTAATGACGAAATCAAGAAAATCTTCACTTGGGAGATGACAGAGAATTCAAATCGGGAGCATTCCAGGACACGAATGACGAAAACTGGAAAACATTTCCTAGTATGCGGAGTTCAACAATGGTTGGAATGAATGCCGTAGGAGAAAGTGAATTCGTCATTATTTGAGTTACAGAGCGGACCAACCCACTTGGTTTCTCCACTTAACGGCTTAGCAATTTCTCCATAGAAACAAACGCACAGGTAACAATGAAGTTATTAGCAACTTTTCACGGTTGACAACTTTCTTTTGTTTCAAGACTTGGTTGATACACGGTCGACAATTACAAAAGCGAGCGTTGTAAATTATTCTTAACAATCTTTTTGTGCGAACGTAATTGTTTTTCTCTCGTAGCTGTCAAAGTCCTTCTACAGGGTGATTAAAATTAATTTATCATACCATTGTAGTCACTACAGATCCATGCTGCATAGTTCAAAAATATTTTTCATTGCGTTTAGTAAAATATTCGTCATGCTGAAAAATGACTATGTCTGTCGTCTGGGATGTTGCCTCGTGTAGTCTAGTAGACGTTTATCGACGTTTCATCCAACATACATACGGTGATGTAGCCTCGAAGACCAATACCAACAAGTAGACCTGCTGGAATCCCCTCTCATCGCCCTGATGATGGAGGCAGTAAACACCTCCGAAACGACGGTAAAATCATTCCAGACTACACTTGCAACATCCCATCGAGTCAGCCTTCTTTTCCATCATGGCGAATTTTTAGATGGTATTTTAAACATGCATCTAATATCCCTGACTTACAGATTACATCTGAATTTAAAATGTTAAAATGCCACATTGAACATTCATAATTACCGACTGAGTACTCCTCTTTTGTCCCATGGGAAAACTGGAATAGTGTCTTAAAATAGGCCACGATTGTCTCCTGCCTTATTCTTCTTAGTTCATCATTAGCAATGATTATCATTTCAATAGACGTCATTTTCATAAACTACGCTCTGGAACTGCAGACAGAAGGATCTGTGTTCCTTAGCTTTGTTCTGTAACTTAATTAGCAACTTTTACCACGCTCTGCTACTATCAGCTGTCTTAATTACCGCCCGCTCATTGGGGGGTCCTGATTAATAGACCAATCACCGCCCAACTACGCTGGGGGCAATTCTCATTCGGTGAAGGGATAAGATAAAACTAGCTTAGCAGATCGCTGTAGGCACTTAAACTACTTAGTTAATTGGCAATACTTAAATCTTTTAACTGAACTTTGAATCGTAAGTCAGGGGATGTTATTGAGTTAATAATCAGAATAAATCTGAGACATCCACAAACAGTTACAAGCAACAATATGCAGAGTATTTCGTTCAAAATAAGACGTTTCATTGTTGCCAACAGAAAAATTTCGCGGCATGAAATTTACCTGTTTCATGGTACTTCCGGAGGACAATATTTAACATTATTATAAAGATAATAGCTCGAATAATTATGACAATTAAAAATAATTTAAAAGTAATAAATCTGTTTAAATTATTATTCATAAAAGACTGTTTGATGTGAAGGTTTTATTTATTGTTGAAGCATGGACTGTTCTAACAATGAAATTATTTAAAGATGTATGTTCTTCTGGGTTGTGACGCTGTGCAAATTCGAAGGTAAGCTACGATTCAGAAATTTCGCTCTGTCCCTGATGTTACAGGCTACAAAATCAGCCCGAAGCCTTGTTCGGTGAACGGACTGGATGGCACGTGCATGTTCGTGTGGGAATGTATAAAAACCGAGGGACACCACGTGGGGATGTGCGTGGACACCTTCATGTTCGGTAGCTGTTGCGCACATAACCTCACAGACAACGCCATCCTTGGGCCGGCCGGTGACGGCCACCCTGACATCCTATACTCTCCCCCTAGTCAAACCATCTCGTCAACGACGGCCCGTCCTTCCGTAAGCAGCGTCTTCGTCTCCCTGGCTTCCAGACCCAATTTCACAACTTCCGGTTCATTGACGAGGCCTTCAACCCCATCCCAGAGACCTCAGCACGGTTCCACCTTCCTGACCTCTATAAGCAATACACGACCCGATTTCACTACAAGCAGCAATTCCACCCCGTTCCGGCCACAGAGTGAAACGAGACCCCATTTCACGATGCGCCCGCAGGGTTCAGAACCCATGTTCATTTATCGGCCTTCGACTTCGACCCACACTAAACCCAGCTTTACCGCAAGGCCCCCACTGGGTCACTTTACGTCACCGGACTATACCGGGAACATCTCTAGTCCAAGTGTCATTCAGCTGGAACCCAGTGGGGGCAAGGAGCCCCCTAGAGAGGGTGCATCAAGGCCTCCAGGCAGCACTTCGTCAGAGTAAGTACAATCATCACACGTGTCTTTCGCAATTTTCCATCTCCAAAACGTGAATCGAATGAACAAAAAAAAAAACAGGCCTGTTGAATAATTATGGGTGTTGCTGGATTTCAATGCTTAAAACGTGCAAGAATTAAAATTATTTTATATATCACACCACACAGGAGCTGGGCTTTGCCAGCTTCCGTGGCGGAGGGAGAAAGTACTATGGAATTTGCCAGCAGCGCCATCGTGAGCTCGTGGACTCCGACGCACACGGCACCAAGTACCATCTGGCAAGCCACCACGGAACCAGGTTTCGTTACGCGACTACGTCCAGTCGCTAGTTCAACTTCCAACAAGCCGAGGCCACCGTCCACCAGAAGACCGGTGTCTCCCACTACCAGAACAACGCCTACCACCAGTACTACCACAACAACGACGACAACCACTACCACCACAACAACAACTACCACAACGACTCCACCTCCGACAACCACCACAACCACAACTACGTCTCTACCACCAACAACCACCCTTGTTTCGGTGACAGCCATCCAGTCTCTGTTTGCAGCAAGTAACGAGAAGGAAATCCGTGAGTATGATATGAAAAGTATTTCTCGCGATGTGACCAAAGGGTAAAATAGTCCTTGGTTCTTGACTGCAATTCTAACCATAAATACGTACGTAAGAGTGCATTTTAGAGGTTGGTAGTTGCCTCTTTCCTTGGTCGCTTTATCTCATGTGGTCTAAACGTCGAATAAAATAGAACAAAAATGTGGGGGGGGGTACCCCCTCCCCCCCACCACCACAATTGGTCTGGAAGCGGTCGCTTAAAAAATAATTGACAATCACTCAGCAGCGATGTTGGGATTAATATCTTTGCAGATACAAATTTTGGTGTTTCGTTAAACGTGTGGTATATATAGAAAAAAAAATAGTTTTTTAAAAAAAAACCGCTGAGATTTTCTTTTCACAAAACCCATTTTTCAGAAACTTGAAGGTATTTGATTTGTTTGAGATGTTAAATTAAAGAGATAACAGTAACATTACATTTCTGGTTCTCACGGGATGTAGTTCCACGTAGTCGGGGTAGAAATTTCAACAAGGCCCTCAACGCCTCTGTAAATTATGGTGATCACAATTTCTAACAGACTATGAGGCATGACATCCCCTGAACACAGCCATCTTGTATAAAATTAAGTTTGCTGGACTGCCGACCGTGTTGTGTCTCTGTAAAGTACAATAATCCCACGTAAATTGTAAGTCCTTGGAACTATTACACATTTCTACGTACCCGTTCTGCGTATTTTATGGGGGTTTTTTTGGATTAAATGTTCTGTTTTGTTAATTTGTTTGTTATTGCGTGCAGAATGTGGGGTTCCACCGTTATTTCCAAGGCCGGAGACACGAATTGTAGGGGGCAGGAACGCGCCTTTCGGTGGCTGGCCCTGGCAGGTAAGCGTATGATTATAATACGTGCTAACGTGATCTGAGGTTTCCGTAAATGTTAACATTCTCCATTCATCCCCGACCACCCATAAGCATACGTCTTTCACCTGCCCTGCTCTTCAACTAAATTATGGGTTTAATTAATTATTCTTGTCCGTCTAATCACAATTTAAAATTTAAAATTTAAAATTTAAAATTTAAAATTTAAAATTTAAAATTTAAAATTTAAAATTTAAAATTAAGATAATTAAAATATCACGTGATGTTCCTATCGAAACATTCGATTTACATTTAGAACATGATATTTTAATTATCTTAATTTTAAATTTTAAATTTTAAATTGTGATTAGACGGACAAGAATAAGTAATTAAATATATTTTTTTCAAAATATGACGCAACTATATCATCTTATAAATTATGGGTGTTAAATTTTTGTTGATCTAAAATTAATCCGTGTGACCGTATCCTGAATTTCAGTAACTCGTCATTTTTTCTATCTTCAGATCTTAAATAATGTCCTGGTCTCAAATATATCTGTTCCTGTTTGTCCCTTGTAACTTCGGAGAAAATAAATTTCAGCTCTTCGTAACGTAATAATTCTCTCAGAGTACACACCCAAGTTTCCGCATCGATCTCCTCCGTGTCATAATCATCAAATGATCTTGCCAAAGACAGACCATCTAATGACAAAACTTCCTCTATCCTTGAGTCCCTTCTGCATGCATCCATTTTTTATCTCACTGTGAGCGGTTTCTGTGCTGTGTGTCACTCTTGCAGGTGTCCGTGAGGCGGACTTCATTTTTTGGATTTTCAAGCACTCATCGCTGTGGGGGCGCGGTCCTAAATGAGAATTGGATTGCCACAGCTGGTCACTGTGTTGACGAGTAAGTACAAAAGTATTTCGTGTTCTAAATTTACGAATTTCTTCGTGTAGACTCAGCGGCTGTTCAAGAATCACATTGACCGCGACTTCCCCTGGTTTTCCTCAGTCACAGAAAAATACGTGCTAGTACATTCATTTAAGATACAACAGCATCGTTTAAAATACTTAGCTGCTACGTTCAACTCTGACGTCATACGTACGGAGCGTAAATTTTGACCCCAAATTTTGATCATGGCCTGTCAGTAGATTATGTAGTGAGTATGAAGATGATTATCATCATAGAGATAAGTGTCCCAGTCGCAAATCATCGTCTTAATGACCTGGTGTCAGATTTTCACTCTTCTTGGTCATTTCTTAATGCGTAAAAATTCCACCTCTGCTGTTTGCTATCTTTTGTATCTCTCCAATCGTGAATTTTTTTTACAAGAATTCGAAAAGTTCATAAATGTCACGAAAATCTAATTTTTTTTATTTCCAAAACATTTTAAGTTGAAATTTTTCAAAGTTTTTAATTTTGTGCGTTTTTGGACATTTTCCTATATATTTTTGATTTTTTGAAAATTTTGAAAAACTTCAAAATTTTTTCGATGCTACCCCGTTGAAAATTTACAATTTTTTTTAAAAAAATTAAAATGGTTATAAATGTCATGAACAGAGGAAATAACAAAGATTTCGAAATTTTTGAAAATATTTTAATTCGGAATATTTTTTTTTAAAAAATATGTTTTGTCCGTTTCTCGGTGTGCATTGGTGGTTAGCAGGATTCACGACCCTTCAGTACATGGGTTCGACCGGGACCGCGACATTTAACGCTCCTTCTGTGAACCCCTTTTTGCGAGATGATTGGTTCTGAACGTGAAGTAATATTTGGGATGTCACGGAGAAACCGGGGAAGCCCCCGGAGGAAAACTCCGTGTTGCCTAGACCAAGGCCTTGCCCAACACAAGTTATAAATTCGGGCACCCCAGTATTACAAGCTCGGACAGTTCGTAATTCATTACAAAAAAATATGACGTGTTCGCAGTCTCCTGACGTCTCAGATACGGATTCGCGTGGGGGAGTATGACTTCTCGAGCGTCCAAGAACCATACCCCTACATGGAACGAGGAGTTGGGCGAAAAGTTGTTCATCCCAAGTACAACTTCTTTACGTACGAATATGATCTGGCTCTTGTACGTCTGGAGTCTCCTCTCAATTTCGCACCTCACATAGCCCCTATCTGCCTTCCAGCATCCGACGATCTACTGATTGGTGAAAATGCAACTGTGACAGGCTGGGGAAGACTCAGCGAGGGTGGCACATTGCCCTCAATCCTTCAGGAGGTAAGCCCAGACTCTCGTATTCAGAATTACGTCGGACTTCACAGGAACAAAATTACGTCATATGCAACGAAGTCTCAAGTGTGTTTCAAATTGTACATTGACGTATATCTGATGTATATATTCACAACATTTCAAAACTCCCCCCCCCCTCTGCTCGTCTTCAACAAATATATTCTCTTGTTCACATTCATTATTTGAGAGGATAAATTAATTACTCAATTACGTCACTATCGCTGAGTGACACGAACTTAGTTTGTGGTATTGGAAGAAATTTTTATTTTCCTCTCACATACAAATGGGCTATTCTGACATTTATTTGTAGGGACTTAAAAAATACCCTAAGTCAGTATTTCAAGTCTCTAGCCCTGGCTTGTGTTAGGTTTTTACTGACGTGCAGTCCATTGCAGTTACGAAGTACGTAATTGAATGCTACTGATGAGGTGAGCCTATCTGTGGAGATTCAACCACTAATGGGCCGATGTCTATCCCCAAATGATACGTCAGAGAATAATACTAATTGGGGAAAAAAATTGTACACCCCTGTTACAGGTTTCGGTGCCCATTGTAAGTAATGACTACTGCAAGTCCATGTTTCTGCGTGCCGGGAGGCACGAGTTCATTCCTGAAATTTTCCTGTGTGCAGGACACGAAAATGGAGGTCAGGACTCCTGCCAAGTGAGTACAAATCCTCCCGGGTCTCGTACGTTCTCTGTCCAATGAGCATATTGTCAAAATTTGAATTTTCGTGATCATTATATATGAGACTAGATACAAAAAAATGTTCGTCCTCTCTTTTCATTTTCATGTTTATTGTGATCGAACATGTCTATCATAAAATTAATTTCAAATATTTAAAAAAAATATATATATATATTTCTGACTTTGTGCGGTGTGATATGTTTAGTTTATCAGGAACTGATTTGTGTCTGAAATAAATTAATCTCAAAGACCACTGAGGAACACAAAATAACACGAAAGCGTTTGACATTTCATTGTCTCTTATTCTAAAACTGTAGCTCAGAATTCACATATGTCAGTGTTGCACTTTAAGAAACTGCCCGTGACGACTTCAGTTCTGACTGCATGTGATTATTCGCTTTAGGGTGACAGTGGAGGTCCTTTACAAGTCCGTGGAAAAGACGGGAGATACTTCCTAGCAGGAATCATCAGCTGGGGTATCGGTTGTGCCGAGGCCAACCTTCCTGGCGTATGCACACGAATTTCCAAGTTTGTCCCATGGATCCTTGAGAACGTCACATAGCGAATGGAATATGGAGCTCGAAATCCCAGCAATCCGTTCAATTCCCGATGCCTAATGACCAAAACGTCTCAAAATCGTGGACTCGTTTTATGCTCAAATATTCCTTACGTGACGGTATGTTAGCTGAGAGCGTGGATCTCCACAAACATTGACCTCGATAAAAGAGAAATGTCTGTCGGTAAGCAGCGAAGATATAAGAATCAAAATCCATTTTTACTACGACACCTAAAAACCCGTCATATATTGAGTAGGATTTGAGGTTTTTATGGTGGTTAGTATTGGGTCGTTGTGCCGTGTAGCCTGATAGAAGTTTAGCGACGTTTCAAAAGTCCTTGCTGCATACATATCACCCTGATGATGGAAGCAGAAAGGACATCCGAAACGTTCGTAAACTTATACCAGACTACACGGAGCTACAACCCAGAAGACAGCCATCTTCGGACTTATATATATTATTACTGACGAACAATACAGTGTATCACGATGATAGTTTTATATATATATATATATAACAAAATAAATATATAAATTTAGTAGTTAAAGAGAAAATATAATTTTAAAAACAATTACAATGTTACTGGAAAAAAAAGGAAGGAGAAATCAAAAAAATATATTTGATATAATCAAATATTAAAATTCAATTTGAAACCTGATACATCATTTCATCGCCATTTTATTACAGGGAGGAATGTATTTAGCCACAGAAGTTTTCTTATACGTTCACTTGAGCTGTGAGATGTTAACGCTGACTTGAACACGGATTTAATTAAAAATGTTTAAAAAAATGTATTCGTCCAGAGCGAGTTGCTTTTCAGGGGTGGAAATTTTTTTTTTGAACGGGAGCGCGCACAATCTGGAAGCATAAAGGCCTCATGCCAAGTGGGAAGTCTATACAAATAAACTGCAATTTGTAGTAAATATTATTCGTATGAATTTAAAATTTATACGTCTTTCACAGAGATTATAATTTTTTTTACGTTTGCTATAAATAGCACTGAGGTATATTAAAAGACGTCTTATGTCTTTAGACTAAACTGCATGGACTTAAAGCGCTTATGCCCAAAAACTTATTCAAAACCTTGTAACATAAGTGAAAAGAATGAATATAAGTCATCGTTTCTGATTTAAAACAATAATAACTAAATATTAGTAACAAATTTGGTATTTTCAATGTCGTTCTGCACGTTGTCAGAATGATGAAGAATACGTGAATTTCTCTTGAAACGTCAGAAATTTTTACGTTCGAACACCGGAAGACACTACAGTGGACAGGAAATACTGCTCTGCATATATTAAGCAGAAAAAAATGTTTAAAATATATTTAATATAACAAAACTATTTTATATCAGTGATCACATCATCTGTAGTGCATATAAATTTGGACTACATGCATGCAGTGGGTTCAAATCGTATTTGGGACACAGACACGTTTGTATCCCATTTGTATAGGAAGACGACTTGCAAATGTCTAATTCGCCATCTAAAGAGTCCACTAGACAGTAGACTGACCAATTAAAATGTAAAAAACAAATGAAGAAGGACCAAGACTGTGATTTATCGTGCAGTGTTCCGTCCGCAACATATTTGACAGACTTCACTTAAACGCTGAAAATAAGTGATCACATTCAAGTGATTTGAAAGACACTCACCCAGGAATTGTGATTACAGCATGTCATGATATACATACCGAGTAAATATATGTAAAAAAAAAAACAAAGACGAATAACCAACTGGTTGTATATTTTTGTATAATATTAAAAAAAAAATATATATCCATATATCAAGATGATGTTTCTTTTTCATATGGGCGTGAAATACAACACCCCTCAGTAGAATCCTTTAAATAAACATCTTAAAAAACACTGATCCTGGCGTCGTTGTAGATACGAGGCTGGTCTACAAAGTAAGTCTCCCTGGGGCCGTTTACAGAAACAAAACACAATTTCATGGAAATATTTATTGCAACAGATACAGCAAGTGTCCAGCTATTTTTCAACATATTCGCCACCGGAATTGAGACATTTGTCATACCGTGGGACCAACTTTTGAATACCTGTGTCGTAGAAGTCGGCCGCCTGGGATTGGAACCACTGTGTGACAACCATCTCCGCCTCTCTGTCATTCTCAAAACGCTGACGCTGACCGGACAGGAATTTCTTGAGGTGTAGGAAAAGATGGAAATGACTGGGAGCGAGGTCCGGGCTGTAGGGTGAATGATCAAACACCTCCCAGCTGAACTCCTGCAGGAGACTTGCTGTCCGTCGAGCCGTGTGCGGCCTAGCGTTATCACTGACCGCACTTCACAGTCGGCGGGAGCTGGAATAAGAACCTCCATCTTCAACAGCTGCAACGATGCTACTGTGAGAACGCGGGAAGTACCGTTAGTGCATGCGCCATGCTACGTCATTGCTCTATCACGTACGCACAGTCGCTTCGCACAATATAAGGTTTGCTAGCTGTGGGACGAGTGGGAAACTTACTTTGTGGACGCGCCTCGTAAGTTGTCCAGACACATGTAGTTGTGGTTGGCACTGTGAAATAAGAAGGAATGAGACAGTGAAAGAATAATATTGGGCTCTCGCTGTATCATGGAAGAACAGTTTGTTAAAATGCGAGCTAGACTTATCTGGCTGAAAAAAAAACTATCCAGATGTGGATTTTGGAAACGCTATAACGAATCTTAGATATCATTAAAAACAAATTTTTCGACCCGCCGAATAACTTTCAAGTAACACTTTTAAGCGTATCCATTGCAGTATTCGCCTTCAGGGAGCTTTCCGTTCTTGCAGAATAAATTTCCAAGAATTTATTAGTTAGAATTAATGTGACATTTCTAAACTACCCGGTGACCTGAATTTTTAAAAAAATTGACAGTGGAACCACGGTTCCGGAGAATCTGACATAAATACGTCTATACGGAAAGGAAGTTTATATATTAGCAACAATGCCGAGTAAACAGATTACGTTTCCTAAGTAACATAACAATGTAAGACTTGAGGTTCTCACAGCGGTGAGTATGAAGATTTCTGTCTTCTGGGTTATTGCGCTGTGCACGAAGTCTGACCATTGTTGTCGATCCATATTTACACATTGTTGATATGGATCTTACACGTTTTCCTTTCACTTGTTTGCCGAATGACCCTTCCGTATAGACGTATTTACGTCAAAATAATGTGTAAATATAGAACGACAATTGTCAGCTATTATACGAACACCTCCGTTTACAACAATGTAATAAGAAGTATTGGAATTCTAAACCACACCAGTAACAAATTGACTGAGCATGCCATAAGGCTCATTTCTCGTTTCTTATGCATGAAGTATAATAGACTGAATAGACCGTATTGCACTCCTTTCCTGCCCTGCTGGGAAAAGATCTCTCGGCCGACCTCAGAAGAGATGGACGGAAAATACAAGACCGTGGCCTAATATTTGAAAGGATGATGATGCAATCCATTCCTTTACTAATTATTACGTCATAGTTTCCGACATTCACTGCGTTTACTATCAAAAAAACTGTATCTGTTGGTGGATTTTAATCTTAATATGGGATTGCAATCAACACACACAGTTAAAGATACAGGTTATGGCAGTTCCGGCACAGTTCTCAGATAAATCCATCAAAATGCCATAGCACTCTACATCTGCTTGCGACCATCGCCCCGATGATGGAGGCAGCATGGACCTCTGAAACGTTGGTGCACTTCTACCAGACAACACGGCGCTACAACCCAGAAGACGGCTACCTTAATCTCGTTACGTGTTCCCCAAATTTCTTACTTTGTTTGGAACACTCGCAATCTGTGCCCCCTACCCTCAAATTTAGAGACCACGTTTCAGTTGCATGAGCCGGGATAGCTCAGTCAGTATAGTGACTAGCTACGGGCTGGACGACCGGGGTTCGATCCCCGACGGGGGCAAACGATTTTTTTTTCCTGTGTCCAGACCGGCTCTGGGGCCCACCCAGCCTCCTCTACAATGGGTACCGGGTCCCTTTCCCGGGGGTAAAGCCGGCCGGGGCGTGATGATGACCACTCACCCCCATCTAGTGCCGAGGTCAAGGAAGAGAGGAGCTATACCTCCACTCCCCCCAAACGCCTACATGGCGTGTAGCGGGACAAACTTTTATTAGCGTCAACAATCCGCTTTCGTCATTGTGGAAATAGCTGAGCTGTGATACGCTTGTAGGAGAAGTGTGTTCTAGACCAGATGCTTTTGTGCTTTTAAAAGTCTTTCACAATAACTATCTCTCCTTTTTATTTTGCCCGTGGACATCGAGGTCTCTTCCCCTTGAAGAAAGAGTGAGGTAAGTGCATCCTATTCATTATTATTATTGCTTATAACATTTACAAGTTTTCATTTACATTTTTGAACTCTTGGAAGAGAATTTGGCTTGTATTATTTCTAACACAAATCCAATTTTTGACGTAAATGCGTCTATATTTTAGGGTCAGTGTCATTCGGCAAAAATGTGTTACGAAAAAGTGTAACGAAAAAGGGAAACGAAAAAGGGAAACGAAAAAG